CCCCCCCCCCCCCCCGAACCCGTCCCTTGATCCCCCGTGGCCGTGACAGACAGCCCCAGCCCAGTGGGGGGCCAGAAACCGCAAGGCGGCCAAATTTCTAGACGTTTTTTTTAGTTCAGCTTTAGTTCTCAGAGTCGCAAAATGGGACTAAAAACCCAACGCGTGCCCCCTGGATCGCTCTCCAAACGAGGAATCCAGGTGGGGCCGAGGCCGGTCACGGTCACACGCTCGCTCCGAGTCCTCATCACTCGAAACGCGTCTAGAATTTTGGCCACCTGTCCCGGGTGAAGGGCGCCGGGGGTGCCGGTCTTCTGGCCCCTGTGGGCCGGTTGTTGTGTTCCCACATGGCCATGCCGTACGGACGGAGCGCTGGGAATGTGGGTGGTGGTGGTGGGTGTGAGGCCTAAAGGGTTTAGGGATCATGCATGACCGCCAAAAAGGTAGACAAAAGGCCATGTGTGCCCAGTGGGCCAGAAGACCGATGGAGCGGCCAAACTCCAGACGCGTTTTGAGCTCCAGAGTCGCAAAAAGGGACTCGAACCGAACGTGTGACCCCCCCCATGGATTCCTCGCTCGGAGAGCAATCCATTGGGGGGTCACACGTTCGGTTCGAGTCCCTTTTAGCGAGCCCAGAGTCGCAAAAAGGGACTCGAACCGAACGTGTGACCCCACCAATGGTTTCCTCGCTCGGAGAGCAATCCATTGGTGGGGTCACACGTTCGGTTCGAGTCCCTTTTAGCGACTCTGGAGCTCAAAACGCGTCTAGAGTTTTGGCCGCCTCCACCGGTCTTCTAGCCCACTGCGTCTCGCCCCCTCTCCTCCCGCCCCCTCTGGATCGACCACTGCATTCTGTTCGTGCCCCACCCAGCCCTGTGCCTATATGCTGCTCGCAGGTGCAGGTGAGCGGGGAGGAAACATTAAAAAAAATAACAAAGGATCCTTTGACCAAAGAATTTTATCTTACTTGTCAAACGAAGTAACGAAAAAGAAAGACACAAAAAACGAATGAATCTTTTGACGAAAGAATTGTCAGAAAAATACCAAAAATACAAACAGAATTCATTGTCATAAATTTAAGTCTTAAACTTCACCAGCCAACTTCTTCATTTTCTTTTTTTTTTTTTGAAGAAAGTCATGGTAGACTAGGATATCATTAACTGTCTCCGGAAGGAACGCGTTCTTCCGGGACGTAATAAGCAACCCAGCTGCACTAAATTTTCCTTCAGCTGATGCGCTGGATGCAGGTGTTGCAAGTACTTTCTTGACAAGGCGACTGAGCAGGGGAAAATCTTTAGCCAACAAGAAAAAAACACGTAAAATTTTTCTATATAGCCTAATTAACAGTGAAAAGTAAAATAATAAATTCGAATAAATTAGTTTCAAAGTATAAACGAACCATCTGTTTCCACCAGCTCAGTAGGTCCTTTGACTTTCACTTGCACTTGTGTGCTGGGAGATTCAGATAAGCTGTCAGCTCGTCCGTTGGCTCATCTGCCGCCGCTTCGTCCTGGAGCGAGGCGTACTCCTCCTCGGGCTGAGAGGACACAGAGCGGCGTTGCCTCTTGGCCGGTGGCTCTGCCGCCTCCGCCTCCTGCCCCTCAGCAGTACTGGTTTTGGTCTTCTCCCTGATGACCTCCAGCTCCTGCCTCACAGCTTCGTGCACCTATACAAAAAATTTACGTCAGTAAATCATTTAGAAGGCTAATGGAATATTCTAAACAGAACCCTTGCTTGCACAGTGGGTCAGAAGACCATTGAGGTGGCCGAAATTCTCGACGCGTTTTGAGCTCCACTCCACAGTTGCTAAGCCGGACTCAAATCGAACGTGTGACCCCACCAATGGATCGCTCTCAAAACGAGGAATCCATTGGTGGGGTCACACGTTCGATTCGAGTCCCATCGAGTAACTCTGGCTGGAGCTCAAAACGTGTCCGGGATTTGGGCTGCCCCACCCACTGTGCCTTAGCCCAGGCACTCGGACAGGAAACAAACCTCTTCCTTTTCTGCAGCGGACAACTTAGAGAGACTTTTGAACTGTGGCCAAAACATGAAGCCCATTTTATGGCGCATGGTTATATTTGGCCTCAAGTTCCTTGAGCAGAAGCCTCTTAAGTTTCACAACAAGCTCAATGTCATCAGGTTTCTCCTCCTGCAGAGCCTCTTTTAGGAGATAATACTGAGGGACAACATGCTGAATTGTTGGGGAATACTCAGCCTCGAACTCCTTTATTGCCCTCTCAAATGCTGCCAGGATAGGGATCAGGGCCTCCATGACCACAACATCATCGTTGGTGATGGTCTGATCACCTGTCCCGCTCCTGCAGGAGAGCGTTGATCTGTAAAATCAAACAGTTTCTAGTGTTACTTATTGTTCGAAAAGTTCCAAGAAATGTTTATAGTGCTTGCTCTGCTCCTGCCTCGACGCTTCCAGCGTTGTATTTACCTTGTCAATTTTGCTGTGGAGTGGAAAGGAACTCTTGGACGATGGGAAAAAAGATCTAACTGGCAGCAGCGACATCCACCTTGTATCAACCCCCTGCTTTAGAGTGCCACCCCCTAGTTGTTCATTAGACCCGAACCTTCATATATTTTACCACTCTCTTGAGCTTGTCTATTAAACCTAGGAGTGGCAGTAAGGCCAAATCCCCTGAGAGATGCTTCTTTAAAACCTTTTTGAGGAGAGCGGCATCATTAGGACTAACTATAGCTTTAACTTTGGCTTTATGACTAGCTGTAAACTTTTCTTCTTAATCGCCAAGTTTTTGCAAGGGGAAAACGACAGATATAATGTCACTTAAAATCATCTACGAGCCCTTCCAGCAGGAACCCTTTCCCCAGGCGGTTTAGGGCCTCCGTGATCTGTTAAAAAAAAAATAGTCAGTAACTAAAATTTAGAGGGTGATGGATGAGTGGAAGCAAAATGTGTGAAAATGTGTGACAAAACAGCCCCGCCCCCTCCCGCTACGAAACAACCTTACCTTGGGAAATTGGGCTTTTGCTGCCCTCAGCATTGGATTTGAGGATTAAAAAACCCTCTGGCCAAGTCGCTCTGGACCGCTTTTTAGAGTGGCCTTTTAAAGGGCGCCACACTTTTTCCCCTGGAGCTCATTATCGCACCCACAGCAGCGGCGACTTTGTCGACAATGACTCCCCCAGCTTCACCGTACATGTCAATTTTAGTCAGCTTGGGTTGCATTGCCTTCTTCACCGTAAGGTTTGTGCAATGGTCCATACAATATGATAGACCGGCTCAAATTTCCCGAAGGTTCGAAATGTCGATGCGCGGAAACGGAATTCGGTTCCTTTTCGGATTCTAAGACGCTGGGAATTTTTTGGGATTTTTGAGGTCACCGGAAGTGGTCCCGCACGGCAGGGTAAGTTAGGCGCACTGCGAATTGATAGACCAGCAGTAACGCGGCCTTAATATTCATTTTACGGGCATATTCCATGAAACAAAAGTTGTCAGAAATGGTCAAATTAATAAAAAATGAAATGTCTGATTTCCAAAACTCAAAATTTGCAATCTGGGTGCCTACCTGTAAGGGGCAACTGGCGACTATTTTAGCTCGGAACCTCAAAATGAAGTGGATTAAGGCGTAAAGCTGTTCGACAATCAATTTGGCCCTTCTGGTGGTGCTATTTTGAATGCCCAATCTTCTTCTGGTCTAACGGAATAATTGGGG